AATTAACACGGTGATCCGACAGTTGCAGAGAAGATGCAACGAATTGGAGTCATCATTAACATTAGCCTCGAACGCCCCAACCGTCACCCCAGCCCTACAAAGGCACCTAGATCTCCACTGTGCGTTGCTGAGGCAAGCCCACGACGAATTGGACAGCACACCTGGGGCCGCAGCCCTGGCAGAAGCAGAGCTAGCTCAATTCCAGACATTATACGAGGAATACGAAATGAACCTGCTTCGAGAAAATGACTCGCCAATGAGCCTAAACTTGGCACTTCCGCCAATAAGCATTCCGGAGTTCAACGGCGAGTATCTAGATTGGCCACGGTTCCATGATCTCTTTGTGGAATTGGTACATAACAAACCATATTCGGCCAGTCAAAAACTACATATTCTACAGAGTTCGCTTCGTAGCGAGGAACGTCTTGACAGACACAGCCTTCTCACAGGGTGGCTATGACGACACCTGGTTGCGGTTAAGGGCCAGGTACCAGAACGGCAAAATATTAGTATTCGCCGCCATAGCAAAAATTATTGACCATAGGCCTATAGACGGCTCCTCGCGTCAACTAAGGGCCTTACATGACACTATAAAAAACTCAATGAGTACTCTTAAAAACCTCGATATCAGCACAAAATCCTGGGATCCAATCCTGTGTTTTCTTATCAGAAGAAAACTAGACCAGCAGTCTCTAGCTGCTCTAGAAAATTCAGCGGATGCACCAACGGAAATTCCGATTGAAATATCTGGAATCGGAGGAAAGAGATCAACAGCAATTAGATCAACACTAAAACTCTCATCATGTACATCACGGTTTAAAAAACTATTAAAGGTATTTATTATGCCCACAGTCATTACAGACCAACCGTCAGTACCGATTACAACCGATCTTAATAATCCCGAGGGACTGCCGTTAGCAGATCCTGACTTTCGGCAACCAGGACCCATTGACCTAACTTTAGGGGTTGAAGTATTTTCTCGTGTATTTACCGGTGAACGTCTTGAACTAGGACCTAATAAACCTTTGGCCAAGGCACAAGCCTTGGTTATGTAATCACAGGTTATATCAATAAAGAAACCTCATCTGATACGGAAACCAACCCCAATCTAATAGAAAACAGAGATGATTTTGCAGGACCGAACGCTGCTTCTGAGCCAACGAAAGATAAAAATCCGATGAATATAGAACCGACTTCTCATCAATTCAAAACCTACAAGAAGGCTGACTTTGGTTCAACATTTCTATACTTAACCAAGGAAGATCTTAGTTTTGTTGGAGAACGTCCACATACCATAAACGTTTCAAATGATCAAGTTCTACGAGGGCACAATTTCAGTCCCCACGGTAATGTCAATTTTATCGCAAAGGGGAGTGTTAGGCAGCATCAAGAAGACGTGAAGGACCTGAATCACAAAAATGAACCGCAGTTGAAGGAAAGATCCACCTTGGTCAATGATTTGTTAGGTGCTTCCTATACAATTCGGTCAAGGGCTGACTGACATCACGACTTAATTGAGTGTACCCCTCAATGGGGGGAGAATGTTCGTACCCAAAGGTACTCAACATGACCACACCCAACAAATCAAGCAGTAGCCAAGTTGGGAACAGTACCAGGCGCTCAGTAGCACTCACGGTAGACTAACTCACCGACTCAACGGCGCACTGGCCCGCCAATGCAGTCAGCATATGTTGCAGTGTCAGTACCAGGCGCTCAGTAGCACCCACTGCATATGAGAATTGCTGATCAGCATATTATATATCTCACTAACTCACCTTCTCACGGATTCAACGGTACACTGACGCGCCAATGCAGTCAGCACATGTTGCAGTTTTAGCCGAGCCAACTGCACCATAATCATAATTCCCTGACCTACTTTAGATTATAGCTTATTTCACTAATCATTACACTAAGCTTCCGTGTTCCAAGTAGTATATAAGCAGGTATCAAATGGAGAATAAATCAGTTATCAACACACCTCTTAACTCCGAGGTTCTACTTCCTACATCTGGGAAGATGGCTCGTAATACACTATCTCAACTAGCAGCTAACCACGTTAGCTCACCCTCAGCGCAGCTCCAGCATCGCCTGTGCTCCGGCATCGCAGTAACCATTGTTACCATTGCCGCGACGCGATCGTCCTGCCAGCAAAGCGTCCCCGTGCCAGCGACAAGTGCTCATTAGCCCCTTGTCCCGCGGAGTGACCCGGAAGTGTCTACTTCGGTTAGGCACAAACAGTATGGTTTGAAACTATGAATGGACCATTTCACGTTGCGTTTTGATAGGAGTGGATCTAATTCGATTCCCTCTCCTGCTCCACTTTCAGGAGGACGACCTGTTTGTTGGATCCCCGGAAAGTGAGCGTCTAGGAGCAGGTCCAAGGACTCCTTAATGGAGTCTGACCCTGATCCATTTGCTTTTTGAAGATAACCCAAAGGCGTTGCTGTCTTAGAGGGTATTTTCCTGAGCCTTGCGGCATCAGTTGTTTTTTCTATGTCAGAGCAGAAGGTCTGCCATGCCGTTCGGTTTGCTCTTCTAATGGCCTTTTTGTAGGAGGCTAGTTCATACTTGTAGTTCAGCCAATTTGTGTCCTCATTTCCCGCCTTTGCTCTGTTTAACAGGCATCTGCAGCTGGTTCTGAGGATAGATAGTTGTTGGTTCCACCAGGAGGGTTTGTTCCTTCCCCTTGGTTTCCCTATGGGGCATGCAACGTTGAAGGCAGTGTTGCATCCCTCTGTGAATTTATTTACTGTTCCGTCCAGCTCCTGTGGGTTTGTGATGCTTTCTGACGGTTCCATGGGGAGGATATTCATCAGAACTTCTTTGTACCTGTGCCAGTCGGCTCGTCTGGGGTTAGCGAAGCTGACCGGCAAGGGCGAATCAAGGGACAATACGGTTTCTATGAATCTATGGTCCGAAAAGGAGTGCTCGTCAGAGACTGCCAAGTTTTTGAATGCGCCTTCGAGTGAGTCTGATACCAAAGTTAGATCTATGATCGTTTGGCAAGCTTTAGTTATGAATGTAGGGACATTGCCCCTATTGCATAAGAATAGGTTCGAAATTAGAATTAAATCAAAAAGAGACTCACCTCTGTCGTTGTTGTTTGGGCAAACCCACTGGGTGTGATGGGCGTTGGCGTCACAGCCTATTACCAAACCTTTCCTGAGCTTTTCGCATTCCTCTGCCAGTCCTCTGACCAGCGCATCTGGGGGGTTTTCCTTTTCAAGAGCCAAGTAGGCCGATAGGACCTTTATAAAGCCACTTTGCAGCTCCAGGCTTACTGCCGTGTTGTTTCCGTTGCTGTAATTGCGAAGTAGAAATATACTAAGATGCTTTTTGGCTAATATGCAGGTTTGAATTTAACCTTCTTTGGGGTCAAGCATGAGCTTGTATTCCTTTGTTCCTAGTCCAGCAACCTTGCCTCCTACTACCCAAGGTTTCTGTACAAGGACTAGGTCGACTCCGCCTTCGTTCAGGCGAAGCAGAAGAGCAGCGGACGCTGCTTTACTGTGGTGAAGGTTTATTTGTAGAAGTCTTAGTGACATCTACAGCTTCAACCTCCACCACAGTGGCGTCGGCCTCCTCTGTATCGCTGAGGTCTACGGCCTCGAAAGCCCGTCCGAGCGCTCGCCTCTCTCTGCTTAGCGACGAATCAGTAGAGTAGCCATCCTCCGGCCCACCAGGTGCCTCCAACTCCTCAGCAAGCACCTGTTCGGCTGGGTTGCCGGCAGAGCTACTAGCGGCGTTGGACACGGAATAAATTGAAACGTTTTGGCCTCCTTTCTAGGCTCAATCATTTTTTCCTTACTCCCTTGATGCAAGGAGTTCCTCTACCCAATAAAGTTAATTATACCCGTTACTCGTAGAGTAAAAGGGTATACTAGATTCGTCGGAAAGTATGTAACAGGCAAAAGAAAGCGATTCCGACCCCATAAAGTATATATATTATTGATCAGGATCACTAGCCGAGTCGATCTAGCCATGTCCGTCTGTCCGTCTGTCCGTCTGTCTGTCCGTCCGGATGAACGCTGAGATCGCGGAAACTATGGGAGCTAGGCTATTGAGATTTGGCGTGCAGATTCCTGAGCTTCTTACGCAGCGCAAGTTTGTTTCAGTAGACTGCCACGCCCACTATAACGCCCACAAACCGCCCAAAATGGTGGCTCCTACAGTTTTGATGCTAAATAGAAAATTTTAACTGAAATCTATTAGTCTTGTCAATACCTATCGATTGAGCCAAAAAAAATTTTGCTACGCCCACTCTAACGCCCACAAACCTCCCAAGAAAAAAGCTATGACGTCAGAGCCAGACAATGCGAAATGTTTTTACGCGTGTATGTGTGTGTATGTAAATAGTTGCCGGCCGAACTTAGCGGCAAAGAAAAAAGCATTGCCGGCGCTCAGAGAGAGCAAAGTCCGCGGCTAACTTATTCTATTGAATAATGAATTTTTCACGCCTACCCTAACGCCCACAACGCTTAAATCTGTCTTCCGCCGGTAGGTGGCGCATTTAAATCTCGCCTTGCTGCTTGCATATCTCCATTTCCCTTTGGTCCCTTAAGCTGAGTAACGGGTATCTGATAGTCGAGGTACTCGACTATAGCGTTCTCCCTTGTTTTTTTCTATAGTTATAGGGTATTATGGTTCAATTTATAATAATGGTCTTTATTAAACCCAATTTTTTATCTATATGTATTTAGTTTCGCTTCTGTTGCACTGCTATTTTAGTGAACACAGCTGTACATATGAGATAGAAAATAAATTTAACAGCTGTCGCCTAAATAGGGCTTAAAAGAAAATACAAGCGCCTAAAATGCATTTTGCGATATCATGTTACGGTTTTGTTCGTCTGTGTATGTCATCCAAATATTTCATACTATCCTTCATCAAATCTCCCCTACAAATTGAATAAAGCACAAAAGAGCTGCCTTGCCTTTTTTATATATATAACATCATTTGAAAATAAAATATTAATTTGACTTTCATCTTTTTTTAGGGAGCAACAGTTACTAAATATCTTTGAAATTTTAATAACCACCCTGGAAGAAAAACTAAAACGTATAGACAGTCTTGATAAAACAGTAGATCATATAATGAAATATATGGAAACTTTGCAAAATCGGGTAGTAAGCAACGTGGAAAAAACTGATTTAATTATATCTCAGCTTCATAAAATAGAAAAATCTATGTCTAGCGGCATGCCTGAAATCCAATCACCTTGTTTGGATTTTATAAACCAAACCACAAAACTAGTACACAATTCCTCAACCCTATTAAAGGAACAATTTGTTAAGTTGGATCGAAAAGTAACTGATATAGATAATAAGCTGGAGGGTCTTAAAGTCCAAATAGATAATAACTTGTTGCAAGTTGAGGACTTTAATGGCGAAGCTAGCGAGAAAAAGGACGTCACCTCACACGTAAATGACATTACTAAATCAATAAGCTATGAAGCAATGACACATGTGTCATCTGAACTAAGCGACCTTCGCGATTCAACTGACAGCATTGATAAAAAGTTACAGTTTCATATAAATATTGTTTCTGAAAATATTGGGAGAATGATGAGCATGATGCATGAGGTTCATTTTGCGGTAGTTGATAGTAACAAACAATTTGAAACTTTAAATGTAACAACGTCACAGCCACCGACAAAATCAAACAAACATGATGTTATAGTTAAAAAAATAAGACCAATGGTTGCTATATCTGAAAAAATTGATGAAGTATGTGGCGAAGTGGTAAACACAAGATCAACGGTAGATAATCTTCTTCCCAAGTCGGCTGCTCTTTTAACACAAACTCAACGCCAAGAACGTGCAATAGATGAAATCCATCAAGATCTTAAAACCAAAACGAACCTAATTATCAATAACTTAGATATGGTTGAAAAACGATTAAAAAAGCAGGAAAACTACGTTCAAATATTAGCTAATCTACCTGAGGCTCATGAGCTTGCAAAAGACAAAACGTTTAACGGATTCGTGGAATATGATTCAACAAAGTAAATTTGTTGCTATTTGTTTACTATATCCTCTAACCAATCTATATTTTAAGCCAATCTATCTTTGATGAAACTTTGAAAAGAGCCAATTCATCTTTGTCCCTCTCTTTCATTCAACCGTCCATAGGGACGACAATATCACCTACAACTGGAGAGAATATGCAGAGTCCATTACATGAAACATCGACAAACACCAACGTCACTTACCATAACGGTTCGGTAATTAATGGATCTAAGTCAGCGATTCGAAAAGATGGACTTATTTTTCCAAGCATAAAAAAAAAGCCATCTATTATAAATACCACCATTGTCAATGATATATTGGCGCTAAAGGATCTTAAAGTAAGTCTTTTTCGTCTTAATCAGAGAGCTGCACACATGCACAACGCACTCATACTAGGTTTATTTTATACCAAGGTATTCTTAAGACCTGCAAAGTAATGAAGCTGTGTTCCGATCACTAATTTTCTCTAAGCTTTCGTTACATCGCGAACCTGAAAAAAAATGGTGTGGTTAAAGTGGAAAACAAAGCATTTTAACTTCGACTCTAACTTTATATATAACTAATTTTCAGTAAATAATAACAAAAAAACAAGAGAGTACAATGAAAATTGACTAAAGTTAGGTTATATTGTAAAGATGACCGCAAAAAAGAAGAAGATTCGCAAAAAATCGCATTGGGCACACGGGTTTTGCCGTACGAGATTTAGTAGTGGACTAATGGGAGAACAGAAAGGTTAACAGCGCTGTTACGTGCACAAATTTTCAGTCCTTTTACTGCCATCTAGTGCTTTTCAAGTCGAGAACAGTCACTCCCGTGTCTTTCAGTAAATTAAAACTTACATTAATTTAATTAAACTAACATAATTGATATTGGTATTGAGTTTATTGGAGTGATAGAGAAGAGACGAAATGGACAAATTGCTTAAATTTTTAATTATTCAATAGAATAAGTTAGCCGCGCACTCTGCTCTCTCTCTTAGCGCCGGCACCGTTCAGTTCGGACAGCAACTATTTTCACACACACATACAAATATATTTGTTGATGTCTGGCTCTGACGTCATTGCTTTACTTCCTGGGAGGTTTGTGGGTGTTGGGGCGGGGTGGTTTGATCGCTGAAATAGATGAAGTCCCAAGAACGAAGGGTAAGCAAAAGCACGGGTGTACTTTGGAGGTTATTACGCGACGTGCCTAGGTGTTTATTGGTACACTTGTGGGAAGGGGAGCTATTCGAGTGGTGTAGGTTTATTTTACGATAGTTGTGTTGGATATAAGGTTACATATAGAAATTATAACTATAAGTGTTCTGCGTACGTTCTGCTCTTGAGTACGACTCTGTCTCGACTACTTTACATTTTTAGAGTCTGGTAACATTATAAAAAGGGACTTATTCTACACTAATATCGAAGGTTTGGTATATACTATATTAGGCGCTGTTTACAGTCGGCCTCTCCTGACAAATCTTTGCGTTCTCGCAGGATTCATGTGGTGGATCATCTTCCAAATCGTCATCTTCATCTGGCTCCTCCGGTGGCAGCTCACACCAGCGCTTCATCTTGTCGGACGAATACACCGACTTGTAGTGTCTCTGCTTTCGTTGTGCGTGAAGGATATCTTCTACAAGATATCTGTCGTTCGGCAGGACCTTGTTGATTATAAAAGGACCTTCGTAGCGAGGCTCCAATTTGCGTGATGTGCCCGTGCTGAATGGCTCATTCTCGACCAACACAAGGTCTCCAAGGCTGTAAACAGTTGGCTTTGTATGTTTGGCATCGTAGCGTTTCTTGGCAGCAGCTCGGTGGTCGTTGACAGTTGTCGCAGCCTCTGCTCTAAGTTGATCTAATTCCGCATCGGTTAGCATCTTTTGGTCTTGGCTTTGAATGATGTTGGTTATCGCGTTCTTCAGGATATCTCGCGGTTCATACCAATACAGGAGCTGAAAGGGAGAGCACTAAGTCACTTAGACATTGCCATCCCAACGCTTATCGATGTCATTGGAAGGCAACAACATTGACAAAATGATGCGATTTGTGCGCTCTGCGTGACCATTGGCTCTGGGTGTTCTTACAGCACATAAAATGTGCTTTACATTGTTTGATTTGCAGTACTTTTCGAAATCTTTTGATGTAAATGCTGTACCACGATCTGTAACAATTCGATCTGGCATTCCGAGGTAGCTGGTTACATCTAGCAGGACATACAGGACGTGTTTAGTTGCTGTACTTTTCACCGCTCGTACAATGGTAAATTTGGTGAATGCATCGACTATTACCAAAATATGCTCGTTTCTCTTGGAACTCTTTGGAAATGGCCCCAGGTGGTCCATGTGTATCGTGGAAAAGGGAATCGGCTTGATGTCATCGTAGTGGTACTGACCTTCCTGACGTCCACCTGGTGTTTTATAAAACGCACAGCCCACACAGGATTTGATGTAGCTTTTGACATAGTTTCGCATTCGGGGAAACCAAAATAAGTTTAGAATTCGTGCCATAGTCTTATCCGTGCTCATATGTCCGGCCTTATCGTGACATTCATGTAAAATGTGGAATCTCAACTGCTTCGGCACAACCCATAACAAATTGTTGCCATGTTTTCGAAACAATCGATCTTGCTCGATCACATACTCGTCGCTCTCAGATTTCTTTTTCAATTTATGTCTGCGACAATTTGCTGTATTTTCTCGTCCTGCAGCTGTATAGAATATAGCCAGTCCTCTTCGTCGATTATCGTTTTTGCTATTTTCAGACTTGCGGTATCCATCTCTCGAGCATCTTCGAACGGAGCTCGACTGAGTGCGTCTACGTGGTTCATCTGTGTTCCTGCTCTGTGAACGATGTCTATGTCGAATTCTTGAATGCGTAACCACCATCTTGCAATCCGGGGTATCAGTTCTCGTTTCTCCATCGACGTCTTTAGGGCATTGCAGTCGGTGATAACCTTTATCTTTTGCCATAAATGTAGTATTTGAATCGCTCCAACGATTCCACGACGGCTAGAGCCTCAAGTTCGTAGCTGTGGTAATTTTTCTCCGGCTAAGAAGTAGCTCGGCTATAATAAGCGATTGGTTTCGGCTGGTCCTCCTCACGTTGTAGCATAACTCCGGCTAAACCAACGGCGCTGGCATCGGTATGTAGTTCATGCTCTGCGTCTAGACGATAGCTGGTGACAACTGGATTTGATATTAGACATTTTTTTAATTCGTCGAAGGCTTCTTCTTGTGGCGCTTTCCAAGAAAACGGCTGATCCTTGCGCAATAGAATTCTTAATGGCGCTGAATTGATGGCATACCCAGGAACGAATTTGCGGAAATAACCTGTGAGACCCAAAAACTTTCTCACATCGGTAATATTGGCTGGTTTCGGGAACATTCTGATGGCGTTCGTCTTAATTTCTCCAGGACTGATTCCTTCTTCGTGTATCTGGTGACCAAGAAATGTTATTGACTGCTTATATAACTCACACTTGTCCAGGTTTAACGTTAATCCGCATTCCTTTAAAACTTTCAGGATCCTCTCAAGCTTCTCGTACATCTCATCAAATGTTTGACTGCCAATAAGGATGTCGTCCATGTAGTGTATCATGTCGCCTTTCTGCACTCTCTTTTGTAACTCTGCCATGAGTCGATTGAAAACCGCAGGTGCGTTCTTCAATCCGAACGGAAGTCACTTGAATTCGTATAATCCATCTGTGGTGATGAAGGCAGTAAACTTTCGGCTCTCTGGGACTATCTCTGTCTGATAGTATCCACTGTTGAGGTCTAGGGATGAGAAGTACTTAAACCTTTTCGCCTGCTGCAGACGTTCTTCTATGTTCGGCACTGGAAATTCTCCTTCTTGATCAGCTTGTTGAGGCGGCGGTAATCGACGCACATTCGATCGCTACCATTCGGCTTCTTGATGAGCACCACCGGGCTGGCGTACTCTGATGCTGACAACGTGATGATGTACTGCTTTAGCAGCTCCTCGACCATTGTGCTCGGAATCTCGGTATGGGGCTTGTGCTACTACCTGATTGCTTTCGACGGTGATATCTGCTTGACCACGCTTGTCTTTTCTATGCCTTCCAATCCTGTCGAGAAAACATCGGCGAAGTTCTCCAGTAGTCTGCGCATCTGCTTACTTTCTTTGTCGTTCTCAAAATTTTCTAGCAGCTTCGCGATATTGGTGCTTAGAGGGGTTGTCGGCTGATGGACTGCTCGTTTGATTTTAGAATCGCCTGACTTAAAGTTGAGCTCGAGATGAGCGGAGATGATGACGTCCTGTCCCAACAGAAAGTCCTCCTGCAATATATCGTTGTCTGCTATATACACTTTCGCTGTAATCGTCTTCCCATCGATATCCATATCCACAGTCATCGCTTCTGTGAGGATACATGAACCTCCGCAAATGCCTCTAATCTTCATAGAGCACTTGTGGCGCTTCGCGTTTATTTGCTCGGCAACCGATTGTCGGATGAGACTGGGCCTGTAATCGTGCGAGTGTACGCAGATTTTCCTCGTGAAAAGTTTGTCCTGATTTGCGGCTCCTAAACGCATGACATTGGTGGCTTGGCAACTTCCATTGGCTCGTGGAACTTGTTGCATTTGGTACAGCGTGACTTTTCTTCTTCTTTGGACACGAATTGGCAAAGTGTCCTTTTCTCCGCAGTTGTAGCATATAACGGATTCTTTTGTCCTTGGTGGTTTAACATCGCTGTCTGGTTTCTGCTCGAAGTTGCTGGCTTTCGGTGAATACTCTTTCTTGCTCGTATTTGGCCGACATCGATTAACGAAATACGATTCGGCTGCATCACGAAGCTGTTTCATTGTGGCGAAATGTATTGCTGCAATACTGTTCTGCAATTCTGATGCTGTAGACCTGAGCGAACATATCTGATGATCGCTGCTCGCTGAGCTTGTAGCGCACCCCAAGGGCTGACATCCTGAAACAGTACTCCTTTACCGTCTCCTTTGTCGCCTGGTTGCATTGGCCATGTTGAAATGCACTTCTGCTTCGTCTGGATTAGCGCCGAACTCGTCCTTTATAGCTTCGGCGAAGTTTTTCCACGTAGTGTGTAGAATGGGTGATGAATCAAGCCACATCTTGGCTGGACCTTTAAGCTTTGTATAAATGGCGAGTAACAGGAACTTCTCGTCCCACTGGTAGGCATCAACCACTTTGTTGACACGATCGATGAACTGATTGACTGAAATGGCGTTGTCGTCGTTGGGATCAAATTCTGGCAAGGTGTTGGCAATTTCCTTGACTGAAGCTTGCCTCACGTTGTTCGTAGCCTGTACAGGAATGCTCTCGTTGTTAATCTCGTTGATATCCAAATCGATTATTTGGTGCTGTTGCTGACT